AAAATAGCCGTTCCATAAAATCTCATTGCTCAGGAAGCCCCTTTGAAATTAAAATATGGAATAAAACTGAGCATGAGCTAAAGCAACAGTGTCTGATCTTTATTTATTTAGAAAAGTACATCATTCCTAATCCTGTAAGGATAAAATCTATAAGCTAGTAAACAACATGTATATTTCCAATTCAACAGCATGCTTTTACAAAAGTAAAATAGAAACCTCATTTTTATAAGTAGTCCAGAAGGCAGTTTAAAACCCTGACAGGATGAGCAGCACTCACATTGCATGCTAAAACATAAGGTCTAGTGTCCTAAAATTGCTAAGTTTCCTTTGAGAATACTCTGCAAATCCTGGATACCTCCACAGAGGAAAGAATAGTTTGTGATTTAGGAGGGAGTTACAGTTCAGAGAAATTATGTTTGGAAACCACAGAGGTTTAGTTTAACACTGCCTTTCTTTGCAATTATTTTTTGTGGGGTCTAGGAACGTGTTCCAGACAGCCCTTCTCCTGCTCCTTCTCTTGAAGAGGGCCGAAGACCTGGCAGCCATCCATCCTCTCATCGAAGCAGCAGTGTGTCCAGCTCTCCTGCGCGGACCGAGAGCTCTTCAGACAGAATCCGTAGGTTACATTCTTCTCCTTGTCACCACTTTAAATTTGATTAGGTACAGCTGGTTTTTCTAATCAAAATGCCCTCGTCTTAAATAGATCTCATATGTATCATGTTCGGAAGTTCAGCTGCAATAACCATCTCCCAGCATTATGTTCCCCAGTTTACAATATCATAATATCTGATGCTACATTAATGGGTACTGATATAAACTGCCATCATGTCATATTAAACATAAAGATATGAGCTATGAAATACAGAATTACAGCCGGGAAGCAATTTGCTAGATTAGTTTTAGAACTGAACATATAGTGTAAACATTTTTTAAAGAAATTGAGTTTTATTTAATCTGATTACTCTGGTTTGATTTCTAAATTGAATCTGACTTCATAAGCAACATTTTACATGGTAGAATTGCTTGGTGAAGAGAAGAATTAGGTTAAATCAATTAAAAAATGTGCATACTTTATACATTTTTTAAATATAAAAATTTGTAATGGTGAGAAATACGATACAGAGAATATTATCACCTCATAGCTCACAAGGAGTGGAGTGAAATTAAACCATGGTGTCTCAGAGTGATACCGTTTTTATTAGGGCTCCATGTACAGGATGTAAATTACATGGCAAAGACCCTGAATTCTGTGATATTCCAGTGCAACAGTCTGGAAATTATGTTTTTAAACAATATTATTTTATGGATTTTTTACTTAAATTCGTAATGCACTTGTCCATTCCTTTTATTATTAATCTGTTCTAGGTTTTTGTGCTTTTAAGGCATGCAGATAGAAGACCATGAAATAGTTATATGAAAGACATAGTCATGTTGATTAGATTCAGCTCGTGTCTTTTAGACTGCTTCCTTTCAGGCTCTCTGCAGACTCAGGAAGCTGACTCTTTATTGACCTTCAGGTGAAAGATCTTTCATTACTGTGTGATGAAAAAAGACTTATGAAATAAAATAAACAAGACCTGACCATGACAAGCTCAGAATTCTGTTTTCTTATCTCTTGGACGATTCAGCGTGCAGATTACACTGGCATCCTGTGTACTGTGACCTATCTGTTTCACCAGTTTCTTATGAGTTCCTAAGTAAAGTTCTGGAAAAAAACCTCACACCTCTGAGTTTTTAATTTTTTTTTAATCAATTGAATAGTATATTTTTTACAACCATTGAAGATCTTTTCCATTGTTATCTAAAGAAAAAGTAAATTAAATTGAGAGATAATTACTGTTTTTGCTAAGGAATTACACTTAAAAAAAAAAAAAAAAGAAATGGTACTATTCAGCTTACACTGCTTACTTACCAGCAGAGAGGATTGGGACCTTTGGACGTTGTTTCTTCCAATGTGAACATGACAGTGTTCCTTAAATACTGGATCACTTCAGTAACTTACTTATTTATAAAATAACTCTTTCCTCTCATCTCATTTTTTAACATCATACTTGATTCTTAAGTACATTTGCTTTTGTGGTGCCAGCAAGAGTAAGATCACTACAGAAATATAGGTTACATATGAAAAAATGTGTTATTGGAAATGACCTAAGTCTCTTGAAAATACAATTTTTCAGGATAAAAGCATAGGAATATAAACTCCTTATATGGGTTTCTGAGGTGTGTTTGAGACTCATGAAGGTCGATTTGAAAACTGTTAGAAAGAGCTTTTAAACCTATCTGCAAATAAGCAATTCTGCTACCGCAAAGTCTATTTTGAAAAACAGTGTTTATCACCTGGAAGGCCACAATGTTTTATTTAAAGAAGTTAGGGACTGCATATTGGGAACACTAATAGACAAGATCTCTTTTACAATTAACAAAAAAAAAAATAAAAAAAAATCAGTAAGAATCTCATACAGAACCTTCTATTCTTTTCTGGTTTGCTTATTTTGCATTACAGTTCTTGTTAAATAAACAATAAGATGTTTTCAAATATCCAACTTTGTCCAAAGACACTGAACTCTTCTTTTTAAAATGAGTTATTTTAAGCTAGAAGTAACAGGAATAAATTCTCCCACTGTGTGAACACTGATAGCTCTAATTAAGTAACATTGTGATTGTTAGAATTCTTGTATAATTAAGAGGAAAACTATATAAAATAAGTACAAAAGTGTATTGTTACTATGCAGGCTGATTTTCTTTCTACCTGCACTTGTGTCTAGCAGCTGTCCATCAGAACGGGCTATCTATGAACCAAATGCTGATGGGTTTGTCACCTAATGTCCTGCCTGGACCTAAGGAGGGTGATCTGGCTGGTCATGATGTGGGACATGAGACAAAAAGAATACACATTGAGAAAGGTAATATGAATGTTATGATTCTGTTGTTTTAGTGTAAAACAAGTATTGTCTCAACAGCTAAATAGTATTATTAGAATTGTGATTTTTATTTTTGTAATTGGGATTTTTTATTTTTCTTTTTTATTGTTTCACAAATTAAATTACAACAGGATTGTAGCTTTCTTGATTCTTCTACTTTGTGGTCCTTGAGATTAATGAACAATATTTATATGAGGGAGGAATTTCATAAATATTACAAAGAAGGATAAGTGAAAAACAGTTTTACATTACTGTTGTGTCGCTAACCCTTCTACAACACTGTTTAGGAATTAAGTTTCTGTCTCCATCCAGTTGACTTCAATGACCTACTTCGGAAAGGGACTGAGCACTGTGAAAATTAGTCCATGTGTGCAAAAAGGAAAAAGGCTAATACCAAGCCATTAAATTAGGGAATTGCATAAAATGAGGCCGGTACACATTATATAATGGGATTTAAATTTAATTGAGTATATGACCAAAGTGTTTGATCTAGGTGAATAGTCCACATGCACTTATGCTGATTATGACACCATTTCATCTCTGTTAGTATTCAAAGTTAAGTTCCTGTTCAGAGTTGTTACAGGGGGTTTTGGAGGAGTGATGGTAGAATTTTAAAAGGTGCATTTCATGTTACATTTACTTAATATATGTGAACATATGTGAATATTAAGTATTATAGACCAGAAACATTTTTGTTTAAAGAGAGGCTAGAACTGTGACATATCCTTGGAAAAAATATTCTTTGGACTTATCAGAAAAATCAGTTCTTTGAGCACAATGAGAGGAAAAATAAAAGGTATAATAGCCAGACTTTGAAAAAAAGCCAGAAAAACTGGTGCAGTAATGAAGGTTTTGGAATAAGACATTTTGTGCCATATTTTAATAGCTATAAGATGATAATTCTCTGTCTTGTGTTTGAACACTGAGATATGAAAAAGAATTAAAATCTGGACAATTCTATTCTGGACAGGTGGCATTTTTAATAGGATTACCAGAAAAATTAATGGAAACAACATTTCTTTTATATAAACCATTTAGTTTGGTTCATTGCACACACAACCTGTTTTAGCTTATACTGTGCCCTCACTCAGCCCCTGCAAATTGTATCCCTGCTGTGAAGTATGATGTGATCAAATAGGTTTGTTTTGAATTTCCATAAGTGATTTTATTTCAGCCTTTGACGTTACTCGCTTAAGTGTAATCAGACTGGTGCATCCTGCAAAAAGAAGTACATAGTAAGAATTGCTACTATTTTTGCATGTCATCTGGATTTTTTAAAGGCTTTTTTATAATGGTACCCCAAATTTATTCTCCAATCTGTTGCCAGTTCACGGGGTTTTGGTTTTTTTTTTGCAAGGTCTGTTCTCAGTAAAACTGCTTAGAATTCTCTTTTTTTCCTCAGTCCTTGTTTAGGTCAAACTTTCTAATTTTTGTTCTTTTTTCCTCCCTCTGTTCCAGCCTACTGAATTAATGGTAAATATTCATGGGCTATCTAGATTGATCGGGTATACTAAATTAAAAATCGGTTTCTGTCATGACTACATTTATCATGTCTCTCATACCAATCTTGTAACTTTAATACTAATCTAATCTGTATTAAAACAAGTTGTTTAACTTACATATATTTGTGAGGATAGTAGTTATCTACTTCTGTCACTGTGAGCTTGCAATCAGATTTCCAAACTGTTGCTCACCACTGCACCAGAATGCAATCATATTTAAAAATGCAAACTAACATATGTAGGTGGTGGTACTCTTGTTGTTGAAACCCCATCACCTTCATCATCTGATTCAAATGAAAGAGAGGAAAACAGAAGTTCTGAGTAAGTATCCTGAAGCATTTAAACATTATTGTGTTTTCTTCTAAGCCACTTTTTTTTGGCAGAAATCTATCAACTCAAATTAAAATGGCTTGCAATTGAACCTGGGAGAACCTGGGAAATCCTGCCTGGTAAAGAAGGCTCTGTCTTTTCTCTTCTTTTTCATTTAAAAAACAAAAAGGCCCAAAATCTCTGAAATGATCTGAGCTGTGGGAAAAATTCTTTACAGTAAACAAAGAATTTAAAGGAGGAAAGTTATAACAGAGACAACTGATCAACATACCAGATTTTGAAAAGACAGCGTATGTCAGAGAGGTGAATCATTTGTCTAACCTGATCTATGAGTTGGATACAGGAGAGGAAATATAATTTATCTGTTATAAACATAAAACAAAGGAGCTAATTCACCTAGTCCACACAACATAGTGTAATATATTTAGAAACAGTCCTTTGCCACTTGCAAACTGAATACCAGTTTGAGGGTATTCAGTCTTTCGAAGATCATATGCATTGCTATTCAAAATTCAACCAGAATTATCATTGTTGACAAAATGAGTTTATTTTACTGGGGTGGTTTAAAGTACCAGTAAGTCTCTTGTTTGATTTTTTTTTATTATTATTATTATTTATTTTATTTTATTTTATTTGCCCTTAAACTGTGTTCAAAATCTGTTCTCAGGTTTTGGTGTGTGCAGCCTTGAGTGACCTCAGCTTCCATTGGAATCAGGTTGTCACTGTCCCACCAAAAATCAAATTATGTTCTGTGGATTTGATTTGCTGCCTATTAAGGGAAAGTTTGCACCGAGCTCTTGGTCAGTATTTATTGCAGGGAAACAAGAAGAGTTTCTGTTCTCAGACCATGTGTAAATCGTGGGTGTTAGGAGCATTTTCCAGCAGCTGGCTCCAGATGTTTAACTTGGCCACATCCTAGCTTCATGTTGGGGCAAAACCCAGTGTACACATCTGAAGTTCCACCCACTCCCTGTGGTCCATGAGAAGAAAACTCAGTTTGGTAAGAGTTAGGTTGTGGCCCAGCGAGGTTCCTACTCTGGACTAGAGGGGACTGCAGGAGACACTGCAGAGCACTATAGCCCATCGTTCATACGTAACTCCAGATGTTGTTATCTGTATAACTGGAGAAGTCAATTACCCTAGGTTTCCAGGATTTTTTTCCTTGTTAGAGGATAGCAGATTTTCCAAATTTATTGAAGGCAGGCTGTAGAATTGCAAATGTTCCTGGGAAGAAGGAGGCAAGTTCAAGTACACCATGCTAGTTCACGTACTTGACAGCCATCATCAAAACCAAGTATCTTAATTTTGTAACCTGTAATTATGGACTATTTGATGATGCACATTTGCTCGGATTTCACAAGAAGGGCTGATGTGAAGTATAGGAATCATATCAGAAAAGATCCATTCAGTTTTTACAGTAAAATTAATGCTATGAATCTTTTCAGGTAAAGTTTCTATGACTCAAAAAGTTTGGTCTAGATTTTGTCACTTATCCTACTCAGCTGTTATCTGAGGTCTTACAGATCTCACAGTCTGAAATTGCGAGAAGTGTATTTTTGATGTTTTCTATGAGTCTGAATACTCGTTCAGGTCTTCAGAGGTGTCGTGTAAAAGCATCTAAAAACATTTGTGTTCCTAAAAATAACATAGGAAGGAGGAACTTACAGAGAACCTAAGGACTAGACTGCTGAATCCCAATCCTCTCCTTGCTCATTGATCTGAAGTGTTCAAAATAATCAATGGCTTGAAAGTTAAGCATCCTTGTAGGCAGAAGAGAGAATTTAACTTGCAACATATTTCCTAGGCAATATCCCTAATCACTGTGCTTTGTGTAAAAGAGGGAAGTATATTTTACCATTGTCTGCCGTTAGGACTCAGACTCTGGGGTCTGCAAGGTGGAATTTATAGCTCAGTCCTATTCCCAGAGTTCCTCTATTTGCTAGCTCCAGATAGCTGCATATTATTTAATGTTGACTTTAGACAGACTATAGTTCTACTTTTTAGCTTCCTTAGCTTCCAGTTTCAAGTACGTTACTTGGGTAACGTTAAGGGATGTTGGAGGCAGTGGCTGCTCATAACACCCCCCCTACCTGCTGCCTGCCTAGCAATACCTACCCTATGCAATATATAGCAATGTAGGAACCAGCTCACTTCAGCCCAAGATTCCATTCTAGGGGACAAACACCTAAGAGTTAGTTGCTTTAACACCAAATTTAGATACCTAAATGTTTTATTGGATCTGGCCCTAGGGCATCAGATTAGAATTTTCTGTCTGCATCAATTTATATTTTTTTAGATTGACACCAACAGCAAATGAAGCCTGAATGTCATGCTTACATTTTAAATTGAATATGTTATTTGAGGTGTTATGGGAAGGACACTCTCTTGTTGAAAATGTGCATGCTGTTTTCTGTAATCTGTAACAAAATATAAAATATTCACCATATTCACAAAAGAAACTAAACTATTTCTTTCAGGAAAGCCTTTACCTTTAATGTTAATGGAAATTTCTTAAGTAATTTTCAGATAATCAACAGTAACTGATTCTAGCCTACTCTGATAGCAGCAATTAAGGTATAACTTTATCCAATCCACATATTAAAAAGCCCCAGTCTTTCTGTGTTTATTTTATGTCCCTCTGTACTAAAGTGAGCAATCTTAGACCTCTGGCTAATATCTTATAAAATAGAATATTAAAATTCCAAAATATCCTTAATGCAAAATGGAAAGTTATTTAAATATTCAAGAGTTATAGTTAGAATTGTATTTTCCTGTTAACAGTCATGCATCAAAAAGGAAATGAATGATAATTATATCATCCTATATAGTTACATATTAATTCTGCTTTATCAGCAGTAAATTATTTTATTATATATATAGTGTAAATATATATCAGGCATGTTTATTCTCCTCAATAAATATGGAAACATATATGAGTATGTTTTTATAAATAGGAAATACTCAAAGGAAGTTTCTGCATCAGCGAAGAGTCTCTTCTACCTGAGCTGTCCTCTAGCAAAGACCACAGACAAATCATCAGACCTTTGCTTAAATTCTGGTTTTAGTCTGTGTTACGATTTTAGTTAGTTCTTTGTGAAAGCCTTTTTTAAAATAAAGTTGTTATTAGTTGACCTACAAAGGAATTTTCAT